CTGAACCGCATCCTGGCCGTCAGGGAGATCTATGAGGAGCACAGTCGGCTCAGTGGCCTGGAGGATGACATGGACTAAAGAGAGAGGTGCTGCCAGGCTGGCTGCTTGCCAGCCCTGGATGTCTCATCTTCCGGCCTCTGGCTGCAGGGCAGGGGCTGTGCAGCGTGGGAGGGGACAGTGCTGTGGCAGTGCTGTCTCTTCATCGTTGCTGGACTTGGACATCCCATCCTGCTTGTTACAGGCCTCTCCTATGTACATGGCCCCTGCGCTCAGCCCTGTCTCTTGTCCTGGATGCTGGCTGAGCCATCTTCCCCAGGGCCAGTCCCCATAGCACAGGGGTGGCAAGGCTCCCCTTGCTGCCCTGGCACTGCCCCCCTCTTCCTTTGCGCCAGGGCAGGAACCGCACAATACAGCAGAGCGCAGTCTGGGACCAGCAGTCCTTTCAATTCCCCCTTCCTTTAGCCTCCCCCCGTGAAGCTTCAGATGGCAGGGCAGAGCTTTGCTGCTGTGGCATGATGGTGTTTTCAAGCCAATGGGGAAGGACCACTGGCAGCCTGAGAGTTGCTGGGCCAAGGGGAATGATTGTTCCTGGGGATGGGAGAGGCTTGGGCTTAGGAATGAGGAGGGGAGAAGAGGAAGCTGGTGCTGGAGCGTGGGGACAGAGACATGGCCTCGCTGCAGGGATACCTCCCTTGTACACAGCCAGACTCCTTCCCTCAATTTTATCAATGCTTTCTGAGTTGGTGGAAAGCTGATGGAGGTGGTCTGTGCCAGCACTGCTCCTTTGTCCCTGCTGTCCCCTGTCCTGGTGTAACCTCCCCTCCCTGGACAAGGTGCCATCAGTGGGTCCGTCCACTCTGGCCAGGGGCTTGGGCAGCTGCTGGCAGAGGTGAGGCTCTCTGCCTGCCCTCCCCCTCCCAAAGCAGTGGGGGGCTAGCACCCTGCCCAGGGCAAGCCTGACTCTGTCTGTGCTGCTCTCACTAACTCCTGCCCCTCCTTGTGTTCTGGTCAGTTTTCTTGAGCTGTACATTGGTCTCTTGTTGAGCCTGTATATATTGTTCTGGGCCCTCTGTTCTCTGTGTTTATGTGGAGAGTGAGCCACTCCCCAGTCTTGTTGTAGTGATGCCAGGGCAGTAGGACTAACCCTGTCTCTGGAAAACATTAATTTCAAATAAAGATGCAGAAAACTTTTGGCAGCTGCTGCTTTCCCCCTCTGGGCAGGGTGAGCATCCTGTCCAGCATGGACTCCTGTCCATCCCTGTCTGGCTTTGCTGTCTGCACTTCCTCACCTTGTCTGGCTCCTGGTTTGCTGCTAGCTTTGGCATGCTGGAATGGCCCATGATGCTGTGGCCACTGATGCCAACCTGTGTGCCCCGCCTTTCCCTGCCCTGCTTTTTTCCTGTCTGTCCCTTCCCACAGGGCTGCAGCCCAACCCAAGCCAGTGGTGGCCCTGCCCCAGCTACAGACAGACCTGTTGGAGAGCAATGCCGCGGAGCCCGGGGTAGAGCAGGAGTCAAGTGAGGTGCAGTGGGTGTTTATTTGCTTATCCAAGGCTGTCAGGCCCCTGCCCCAGCCCAGCTCTATTCTCAACTCCAGGGCTCCCAGGAGCCCAGGGGTGCAGCCAAGCTGTGCCCCTGGGTCCATGCCCATCCAACTCTTGCACTGGCCACAAGCCTGCCAGGGCCTGGAGACAGAGCCGCAGAACTGTGGCCACTGGTACATCACCCATCCCTGAATATCCCAGCAGGTCATGTTCACACTGCCAGGTCTGCTGCTCGTGCCTTCCCATGGGACCCACTGGCTCCCCCCAGCCATGCACCCGCCTTTCCCAGGGGTGTCGGGCTTTGGGGGGGTCTTCCAGCAGCCACGGGGCTGCTACCGCTGGGCAGGGTAAGGTGGGTGCTGGGGAGCCCTGCAGGGCTGTCATCTCTGGGCAGGATGTGACACTTGGACCTTGGCCCCTGCCAGCATTTAGTGAGACCCAGGTGGTAGATCTCCACCAGGTTGAGCAGCAGGGACACGCAGGCTACTCCCAGCATGAAGATGAAGATGGTCTTCTCGGTGGGCTGGGAGGTGTAGCAGTTGACAGTGTTAGGGCAGGGCCAGCAGCTGCAGGTGTAGAGAGGCTTCAGCTGGAACCCATACAAGGCGTACTGGCCCACAATGAAGCTCACTTCCAAGAGAGCCTTGAAGATGACATTGCAGACATATGTCCTCAGGATAGCTCCCTGCATGCAGACCTGTCCCTGTGCATCCCCCACAGGGACCTGGGGCTGCCTGGGGCGCTGCCTCCCAGCCCAGCCACCAGCCTGTACCGCCGCTTGCTGCTGCGCCTTCTCCATATGCACCAGGTGCAGGATGTGGCCAAGGTACACGAGGCTGGGGGTGAAGACGAAGATGATCTGCAGGACCCAGAAATGGAGGTGGGAGATGGGGAAGGTGCTGTCATAGCAGGCAATCTCGCAGCCAGGCTGCTGCGTGTCACAGGAGAAACAAGACAGCTCATTGCCCCAGACCCACTCCGCAGG